TTCTTCATGGTATTCACCCTGCTGGACGACTTCCTGCTGGCCGTGATGGCCTATGACCGCTACGTGGCCATCTGCCTTCCCCTCCACTACACCACCATCATGCATCCCCAACGCTGCCTGCTGCTGGTCGCCGCATCCTGGCTCTGCTCCCATCTCCTGGCCTTCTCTCTCACTCTCCTCATGTCTCAGTTCTCCTTCTGCGCCTCTCATTCCATCCCACACTTCTTCTGTGATCTTCCCCCTCTCCTCAAACTCGCCTGTTCAGACACCCAGGGCTTTCAAGTCATGATGTTTTCTGAAGCAGCGCTTTCAGGTGTGGTTCCTCTCACCTGTGTCTTGGTCTCTTATGCCCACATCATCCGCACCATCCTCAGCGTCCCTTCTGCTGGTAGGAAGCACAAAGTCTTCTCTACCTGTGGTTCCCACCTGTCAGTCCTTACTCTCTTCTATGGGGCTCTATTTCTAGTGTATTTCCAGTCCTCATCCTCCTACTCAGCAGACACTGGAATGGTGGCCTCTGTGGTATACACGATGGTCACCCCCATGCTGAACCCCTTCATCTACAGCCTGAGGAACAGGGACATGAAGGGAGCGTTGTGGAGACTTTTCAGCTGGAGAAAATTCTCTACTCACTGAAGAGTCCTTCCCTTGAATGGAGGCTCCTTGATCTGTCTTCTGCCTGAGCTTCCCCACTGTAATTTTTATTTTTTTAAGATTTATTTATTTATGCATATAAGAACTGGGGTACAAGCCAGAGATATGGGGGTGTGAGAGGAGTCACCAGAGACAGAGTGGGAAACAGAACAGGCAGACTGACGAAATACACTGCTGAGAGGAGCAATGGGCGAGACAGGAGAGGTCTGCTGCGCCATGTGGTTTGCTTCCTGGCTGGTCAGGGATCAAACTCATGCTGCAGAGGCTGCGGATTGCTTCATAGTGCAGTGCTTAACCCCTTGTGCCACCAGGGAGGATCCTCCACTGTAATTTTTTAAAGCACAAAGTTCAGGAAGTCTAGAACTCAGTATGGCAAATAGATTTAACAAATGGAGACTCCCGACTCAGCAGGATTGCAATAGGATCAACTGGCCAAGGACAGAGCTACAAGTGACCATAGCTCTCAAAGTGGCTGATTAGAGAGGACAGCTGTATAGACAGATTCACACCAGAGAGTAAATACCATCCAGTGGACAACATCAGATGTAATTTAAGTTATGGAGAAAGCCAGTGAGCCATTCAGTCATGACTAATGGGCCCCACCCAGCTGTCACTGGACGAGGGAGAGGATCTGGAGTTGCTGAGTTCATCCCACCATTCAACTACACAGATGATGAGCGAGGATTGAGCCAGCTGCTGTCCACTGCTCCACTGGGAACTGGAGGAATGTATCAAGGGGCTCTGCTCCCAACCCCAGGATCCTCTGGTCAAGATTGAATAGACAACTATACAGACACCAATGCAGGCAGGTGAGGAGTCAGCGTTTATTGATTAGTGAAAAAGCAAGGAGATAGCTCCAGGGAAACCTCTCTGGACATGAAAGTGACTCTGTAAGGCCCAGGACTAAGGATGTATAATGGTGCTAAGACTGGGTTTTGAGAACAAAGGAAATAAAGTTTATTTGGCTGAGAAAGCAAGGAGAGTGTATGGCTAAAGTCCATTTGTCCTTCTGAGTATGGTTCACGTATTGTTACTAAGTATGAGCACCCATCAGCTGAGGCTTGGTGGTCATTCAAGGCTCATGACTCTTTTCTACTTTGTTGAAAAAACGCTGCAGGTACAATTAAATTTAATTTTTTGTTTAATCTTACATCATGAGTTTTCAAGACATTATTAATCTCCCTGATTATTTGACACTCTAATAAGCTTACCTCAGAAGAAAAGTCCATGTTTTTTTTTTTCATTTTTTCATTTTTTTAATATTTATTTATTTATTTATACAAGAACCGGGGTACAGGCCAGAGGTGCAGGGGGTGAGAGGATTCACCAGAGACAGAGCGGGGAACAGAACAGGCAGACTGACGAAATACACTGCTGAGGGGAGCAGCAGGCATGACAGGAGAGGTCTGCTGCGCCATGTGGGACCCTCGCCGGCTGGTCGGCCAGAATTGAACCAGCGCTGCAGAGGCTGCGGATAGCTTCACAGCGCTGCGCTCAACCACCTGTGCCACCAGGGGAGGTCCCATGTTATTTTTTTTAAAATGTTGAATATTTTATTGTTTCTACACTTTTACTATTTTAAACAAGGCTCTGGTAAACACCTAGTATATATCTGTTTTAGATTTTATCTGATTGTAATCTTTTTTTTCCAGTGTTAAGATTTTTTGGGAGAGGGGAGGGGATTATGGGTGCTTTGGGCCACAGTTTTTATGACTTCACCCATGGGTGATTAGGGATGGCCAAGTTTCATTATTACAAACTACAATCCAATAAAAGTCTCTGAAAAGAAATAATTTTTATATTCATAGTATGTGACTTTTTAAATTTTCAGAAGTAGAATGTCTAAATAAAATATTTCTAGGACTGGTTATCTATCCACGTTGCCAAAATACCTAAATAAATGTGCCCTTTTTTTTTTTAAAGAGAATTTTTGGAGTTAACCACAAACATCTTTTCTTTTTTAAAAAAAAAGATTTATTTATTTATTTATGCAAGCACTGGGTACAGTCAGAAGCGCGGGAGGGTGAGAGAGTTCACCAGAGCCAGAGCGGGGAGCAAAACAGGCAGACTAACAAAATACACTGCTGAGGGGAGCAGCGGGCGCGGCAAGAGAGGTCTGTGTGCCATGTGGGACCCTCGCTGGCCGGCCAGGGATCGAACCGGTGCTGCAAAGGCTGCAGGCAGCTTCGATCCCAGAGCTCAACCGCTGCACCACTGGGGAGGCCCTAAATGTGCCCTTTTTTCTCTATCTTCTACATAGCTTCAAAATTCGCTTAATTATAACTAATACGTTAGCTAAAATGGTTATCTTCTTGCTTTAGTTTTATTTTTTTCCATTATTGATGAGAGGACTATTTTCCTGAGTTTGTTAGCTAATTTTTTTAAATTCTCTTACAAATTATTTTGTCATGTAATCTGTCCATTATTTAATGGAAATTTTGTTGAATTGTACAGGAGTTTTTCCATTAAAGATATTATATCTCTGTCATCTTTGTCTAGGTAGTGCCATCAACTAACTCTTCATCTCTTAACTTTGTGATTTCTTTGTGTAAGAAAGTGTTTATTATCAAATCAGCGCATCTTCATCACCTCCTTTACAGAAGTTATAGTTTTAAAATACTTATCTAAGAAGAATCTATGCAAAGAAGAATCAACTTTTTTTTTCATTTTTGTCTAAAATACATTACTTTTTAATGTATACAGTATTACCTTGGTGATTTTTTTTCATTTATAAAGATGTTGAATAGCAGTATTATTTTTTATTTAAGAAAAACAAAGCTCATATTCCCACAATTGTCATATTTATACTTGATATGCATATGAATAAAGAGAAAGGCTGTTGTGAAAACGTTGGATTTAAATTAAGTGTTCTAGGTATAATGCATTATATTTTACTTATTGGATACATAAAAAAGTATCACTGGCCTGAGAGGCTGGAGAGGTTTCTTTCCAATATTCTCTAATTGGGATGCTCCCCTCGCCCGGTCTCTATCCTCTGCCCACTGGGCTGACACCCCACCATTAAACCAAAGGAATGAGTGTCTCCAGGCAATTAAAGAGCAGCACCAGTCCCGAGTCAGAGGAAACCGTGCTTGGCCTGTGCCCTGCAGGCTGACTCACTAGGTAACGGGGTTTATCTTGACCTGGTTCCAGCTTTGGGAGCACAAAGTTGTGTCTTTGGCCACTTGAGGCTCAAACAGCATCAGCTGGAGCTCAGGCTGCTTTGTGCCTTCAATGCCACCAACTACCAGAGACAAGGCTCTGGCTAGATTCCAAATCTAACATTCATAATCCGAAATTAATTTTCAAGAGTTATAAAGAGAGAAAGGGGGAGAAAAAGAGGAAACTTATCAGGACAAGGCTGTCCTAGGAATGCTCTTAAAGTCTCTAGTCAACTTTTGGCTGATATATGAGATTCTAAATCCTAAATATAACCTCTCCCAGAAGGTGTGAGTCTAAACTGACAGCTTCTGAGACCTGGTCTGCAGGGAAGGCTCGGTATCTCTGCAATGAGACCTCGCCAGCCACCAGCAGGCACAGAGTCCAGCAGTCCTGCCTGGAGCAGAGCCCTGGCTCCACACAAGCAGGAGCCTGTGAGGAGCAACAGCACGTCTGTTGAAGATGGTTTAGTACAGGGCAAGGCCAGAACAAGTGACACCAGACTTTCCAGGCAAAGCCATTATAGAAAGCAACATGGCTATGCCTCAAAAAATTAAAAATTGGGCCTCCCTGGTGGTGCAGGCGGTTGGGTGCAGCACTGTGAAGCTGTCTGCAGCCTCTGTAGTGCAGGTTCGATTCCCGGAGGGCCAGGGAGATTCCTACATGGCACAGCAGACCTCTCCTTTCTTGTCCGCTGCTCCCCTCAGTAGTATATTTCAGTCAATCTGCCTGTTCTGTTCCCCACTCTGTCTCTGGTGGATCCTCTCACCCCCTGCATCTCTGGCCTGTATCCCAGCTATGTATGCATAAATAAATAAATCTTTAAAAAGAAGTAAAAGTAACGATTGTGACATCCAATCTATCTTTTTTCTCTTTAATTATTTTCTGCTACCTATCATATGGCACTGATGAGGAAAGTGTGTACTCCATGACAGGGACAGGCTGAAGATGAAGAATCCCACCTACATGGCCCCTGAGGAAAACAATACAAGGGCAGTGCCCCCATGGACCCACACCCTCATCTCTTTGAGAGGAGGCACTGCTGGGACCCCAGGGGCCACAGTCTAGAATTGCCTCATCCTGTCTCTAACTAGGAAGTCTGGGATTGAGTCCCAGGAGACACCACATGTGAATACTGAGCAGTTCCTCCTGAGTCTTCAGTCTGGAAGAACTCAGAGGCACCAGTCATGTCGTCCTGGGGAGACAGAGCAGCAAGGAACCCAACCTCCTTGATGATAGTGTCAGAGAGTGGGGTTAGCCAGCATCTCCAGGTAAGAACTAAGGCCTCAGGACGGGACAGGAGACCAGCCGGCCAAAGGTGGACACTCACGGGCACACACAGGGCACATGGGAGCTGCTGTCTCTTCCTTTTTCCATTTTCTCTCTTATAATCCTCTCTGCCAGTCATTTCCCAGCTCTCCTGATCCCCACAAGGCTTACCGAACTCAGGAGTTCCTCACCTCCCTAATGATCCAGTCCCAGGTCATTATGGAAAGAGAGTCTCAGGCTACCCGTTCTCATCAGCGATCAGGACATAGCAACTGGGCAACAACAAACCTGTGGATGTGAGAAATCTGCAAAGGGAAGGGTGTTGTGGTAACAGAGGGCATGTCACTTTCATCATAAAGCTCACCTCCACAGCATCTGCTACAAGATCATATCTGATCACACAAGCGTGGGGCCCAGAGTCACTCTCAGCCACTGCCCTCGCCAGCACCAGCACTCTGCTCTGCTACCACCACCTACCACTCACCACCCCTGTCCACAACCTTTTGTTGTTGGTTTTTTAATTTGCAGTGAGTAGCTATTTAAAATAGATTTATTTATACTCACTATGAAATTATAGTTACTTTGCCTGATTGAGTTATTTGATTTAAGTTTATGTTTGGTTTCCAGATGCTTTGTCACTAACAGTTCTGAGTAGAGTTATAAGCACTCAAGGAGAGTGGTGGTGATTATGATAATGATGATTCATCTTACACCTCACAACTCACAATCTATCTCTCTCAGGAGGTAACTTGGGCCAATGACGCACCATCATGTATTCACAACAATAGAAACAATGACTAATATATAAGGAACATTTACTACAAGCCCGCATTGCTCTAAACATTTTACAATCGTTATCTACTTGAATCCTCACAACAACGCCATACAGTAAACTCAATTAATATTCCTTTAAACAGTTGTGAAAGGTAAAGTGACTTTTTCAAAGTCACACAGAGAGTGAAACGTGGGGAAATTCTGACAGACTCCTGAAGGGGTGTTATTTTTCTTCTTCTTTTTTTAAGATTTATTTATTTATTTATACAAGCACTGGGTACAATCAGAAGCGCAGGAGGGCGAGAGAATTCACCAGAGTCAGAGCGGGGAACAGAACAGGCAGACTGACGAAGTACACTGCTGAGGGGAGCAGTGGGCAGTAGGAGAGGTCTGTGCGCCATGTGGGACCCTTGCCCGGCAGCCGGGGATCAAACTGGTGCTGCAGAGGCTGCGGGCAGCTTCGCAACCCAGGGCTCAACAGCTGCACCACTGGGGAGGCCCGGTATTAATTTTCAATTGTCACAGAAACTAGTGTGACATTGGCACATGCTCCCTCTGGGTGTCACACATTTGCCTCCAACCACCAGACAGGAGCACTGGAATCCCTCATTTCGATTGTGCCTCATGGTTCATGAAGAAACTTAAACTGATCCAGTATCTGAACCCTCACAAATGTATCAGGTGTGGTTATTATCTACATCTAAACCCAAAGGGAGCAAACTCCAAAAGGGCATCTAGCTACCAAACTGAAAACAGACCTGGGAGAGCCAGACCACAAAGCACACTGTTCCCAGATCACACTGCACCAAGGTGTACTGACAGTGATAAAAACGACCACTTTCTTAATTTTGAGCCTTCCCTGCATTTGTATTATCTCTGCAATAGCTTCATGAAGCAAGAACACAGTAGAATACAGAGACTTCAGAGCTCACATGACTTTCCTAAGAACACACTGCCTAGAACAGGCACAGAAAGGAGACCCAGGGGGTCTCCCTGGTGGTGCAAGGGGTTCAGACGAAACCTATGAATCTGTCTGCAGCCACTGCAGCACGAGTTCAATCCCTGGCCAGAGAGCTACCAACATGGCGCAGCAGACTTCTCCTGACAAGCCCACTGCTCCCCTCAGCAGTGTATTTCGGTCCACCTGCCTGTTCTGTTCCCCACTCTGTCGCTGGTGAATCCTCTCACCCTCCACACCTCTGGCCTGTACCCCAGTGCTTGAATGCATAAATAAATAAATCTTTAAAAAAAGAAAGGAGATCCAACCAATCTCTAGGCCCCAAACCCCATGATCTTAAAATTGATGTTGCTGATTGAGATATTGATAATGAAAATAACAAACACTTTCTTGACAAAGCATTTGCCAGTTAACAAAGTTTCCATACCCACATTAATTCATAGGCATAGTCTTGAAATGCAAAGAGGCAGTGTTCTCCCAAGACTCTCTAGTATAAGTCTCATGGTTTTGTTGACTTTTCTTTTTTGTAGTGCAAGTGTCTCCTTAAGCTTTGACTGTCAAGGCATCACATCAAAGATGGCAATTTCAAACACTGCCAGCCACACCAACCTGATTATCACAGTCCACAGTCCTTGTGCTTTTCACGTTTGCACACGTGGCATTACAGCTACTACTGGACCTCAGGGTCCTCTTCAAAGAATATAGTACCAAAGACCTCGTCTGTGTAAATATTATGCCTATCTTTTATTGAGCAAGATTCTCTTCTAACTTCTCTGCCTTAGGACGAATTTAGGAACCTAAGCAGCAGCCCTGACTTCCTGCTCCTAGGCTTCTCCGAACACCCAGAGCAGCAGCCTCTCCTCTTTGGGCTCTTCCTGGCCATGTACCTGGCCTCTGTGCTGGGCAACCTGCTCATCATCCTGGCCATCGGCTCTGACTCTCGCTTCCACACCCCCATGTACTTCTTCCTGGCCAACCTGTCCTTCATCGACACCTGCTTCTCCTGCACCATTGTCCCCAAGGTGCTGGTCAACATTCAGACTCAGGATCACACCATCTCCTATGCTGGATGCCTTGTGCAGATGTACTTCTTCATGGCCTTGACCCTGCTGGATGACTTTCTGCTGGCCGTGATGGCCTATGACCGCTACGTGGCCATCTGCCTTCCCCTCCACTACACCACCATCATGCGTCCCCAACGCTGCCTGCTGCTGGTTGCTGCATCCTGGCTCTGTGCCTACATCCTGGCCTTCTCACAGACCATCCTAGTGTCTCAGTTCTCCTTCTGTGCCTCTCATTCCATCCCACATTTCTTCTGTGATCTTCTCCCACTTCTCAAACTCGCCTGTTCAGACACACATATATTTCAAATCATGATATATGCTGACTCAGCCCTCTCGGGTGTGGTCCCATTCACCTGTGTCCTGGTCTCCTATGCCCATATCATCCACACCATCCTCAGGGTCCCCTCTGCTGGAGGAAAGAACAAAGTTTTCTCTACCTGTGGCTCACATCTGACAGTTGTCACTCTCTTCTATGGAACCCTCTTTCTAGTGTATTTCCAGCCCTCATCCTCCTACTCAGCAGACACCGGAATGGTGGCCTCTGTGGTATACACGATGGTCACCCCCATGCTGAACCCCTTCATCTACAGCCTGCGAAACAGGGACATGAAGGGGGCTTTGTGGAGGCTCCTTGGCTGGGGGAGGTGTTCCACCCCCTAAGAGGTCCCTGAAGCCAAGATTTCCAATTTGCCTTCTTCTCTGGACTTGTCCATCATAAAATTGAAAGACACACATTCAAGACAGGATGGATGGTTAGCCTTCCAAACAGATGCAAGAAAATGAAGTCTGACAACCTAGGACTGGGCTAGGACTAACTGGCCAAAGATAGAACTGCAGCCTGGAGAAAGTGAGTGACCAGCAGTCCCTACAAGCGACTTGATGAGTGCCTAATGTATCCAAGCAGATTCAGTGTAGCCTTGGGAACAGCAAAAATGCCAATAAACCTGTAGGAGCAAGTTCAATAGGAACACCTAGTAGAACTATAAATTCTTCCCCCAAATAATGGGGACACATCTACTATATAACATAGTGAATATAGTTAACAATACTCTGTTATAGTCTTCAAAGTTGCTATAAGATTAGACCTTAACAAAGGAAGTGAAAATTACATGAGATGAAAAGTTAGCTAACATTAATGTAGTAACCATATTGCAATATGTAAATACATCAAACAAACACATTGTATACACATTTCTAATTTTTTGAAAAAGGAGATGCTGGCAAGACCAGGCAGGTAAAGTCACTGGGTTTCAAGGACCGTTTCTGAACCTGCCTTGGAAGAAGCTCATTTATGAGAATTGACCTCAATAAAGAAAATGACACCAAATAGGCAAAACATATGTGTGGCCCGAGAGGACACAAATATTCTAGAAAAGAAACCTGGACAGAAAAAGATTAAAATTTGCTCATTGTCACTTATCTGGAATTAGTCTCTTGCAGGTTATTTGGGTTTTGGTTAGTTGTGACCAGTCTTTACTCTTTAAACTCTGATTTATTTTTTCTCCAACTGAAAAATCATTTGTTATTGCAGTAAAGAGAAAATAGTTAAAATTTTTCTAAAGATTTATTTATTTATGCATACAAGAACTGGGGTACAGGCCAGAGGTGTGGGGAGTGAGAGGATTCACCAGAGACAGAGTGGGGAACAGAACAGGCAGACTGATTGAAATGCACTGCTGAGAGGAGCAGCAGGCAAGTCAGGAGAGCTCTGCTGCACCATGTGGATTAGCTCCCTGCCTGGGGATCGAACTCATGCTGCAGTGGCTGGCAATAGCTTGATAGCGCTGAGACTTTAACCCCTGTGCCACCAGGGAAGCCCCTATAGCACATCTTCTTACACTCCTCTGTCTTTGGGTTCTCAGGGTGTTTCTTTAACTTAGCTAATATAAATAATGCTGCAGTAAACAGAGGAGTGCATATATTTCTCCAAATAAGTTTGTTTGTTTGTTTTGGGTTTTTTTTTGGCATTCTTTGGGTAGATAACTTGGAGTGGGATTGCTGGGTCATATGATAGATCTATTGTTAATTCTTTGGGAAACCTCCACACTGTGTTCCATAGGAGATGGACTTGTTTGCATTTCCACCAACAGTGAATAAGGGTAAATCCCTTCTCAAAAGATCCCCTTTTGGGCCCCCCTGATGGCGCAGGCGGTTGAGGGCAGCTCTGCGAAACTCTCCACAGCCTCTGCAGCACGGGTTCAATCCTGTCCAGCTGGTGAGAATCCCACATGGTGCAGCAGACCTCTCCTGTTTCACCATCTGCTCCCCTCAGTGGTGTATTTCAGTAGATCGGCCTGTTCTGCTCCCTGCTCTGTCTCTGGTGAATCCTCTCACCCTCCTGTGCATCTGGCCTGTACCTGGGTTCTTGTATGCATAAATAAATAAATCTTAAAAAAAATCCACTGTATGTTACACAAATTCTTATGATCCTTTTCTCTGTACATTTGATTTATGTTGTTAAGATGCAGTCAATGGGGGCCTTCCTGATGGTGCAGGCAGTTGAGCGCAGCGCTGTGAAGCTATGCGCAGCTCTGCAGTGCCAGTTGGATCCCCACCAGCCTCGGAGCAACCCACTTGGCGAGCAGACCTTTCCTGTCTCGCCCGCTGCTCCCCTCAGCAGTGTATTTCGTCAGTCTTCCTGTTCTGTTCCCTGCTCTGTCTCTGGTGAATCCTCTCACCTCCCGCGTATCTGGCCTGTACCCCAGCTCTTGTATAAATAAACTAAAATCTTAAAAAAAAAAAAAAAGATGCAGTTAATGATCTACCTTCCCACTGATGTTCTGTGAGTGTTGCTTTGTCTGTATCCTACCAGTATTTTGTGACCCTATTTTTTACTTAATAGTTGCAAATATTTACTTCTCTTTCATTTGCTTACTTACTGTTTCCTTAAGCCTATAAATAAATTGTATCTGTGTTAAGTATGTCTCCATGTTATTTGACTATTTAAAGACTTGTGTAAGTCCTCTTTATATTAAAGATTTAAACTTTATAGGGCCTCCCTGATGGCTCAGTGATTGAGTCTCAGGGCTATCAAGCTATCGCCAGCCAATGAGGCACGAATTTGATCCCAGGCCAGGGAGCTGACCCACATGGTGCAGCAGACCTCTCCTGTTTCGGCTGCTGCTCCCTTCAGCAGTGGATTTCAGTAGAGCTGCCTGTTCTGCTCCTCACTCTGTCTCTGGTGAATCCTCTCACCCCCGCACCTCTGGCCTGTACCCTAGTTCTACTATGTATAAATAAATAAATCTTTTTCTTTTAATAAAGGAAGTCTTTAATTCAATAATTTTTAAAAACCATAGCTCTTAAAGGACAAGTGATTTAAATAAACATTTCTCCAACTAAAAACATATAAATCACCAATAAGTACATGAAGGATGTTCAAGGTCTTTATTCATCATGGAAGTGCAAATCAAAACCAGAATGAGAAGCCATTTCACTTCCACTAGGACGGTTCTACTCAAAAAGATGGACAATAACTAAAGATTGATGAGGAGTTAGGTACACCCCTGTACCTAACTAACAGTCCTCCTACACTGAGGGTAGAATTGTAAAATATTGCAGCCACTTGGAAAATAGTTTGGCAGTTTCTCAAAAAGTTAAATGTAGAGTTGCCACACGGCCCAGTAATCCCCTTCCCAGGTATCTACCCAAGCAAACGCATGTCCACACAAAAGCCTGTGCACGTTCACAGTGGCATCATTCATAACCAGAGAATGGAAACAACCTAAAAAGCACGCAATGATTAAAATTTTTCCATTAACGATTATATTAGTTAGGTCTCACAATAATCAAATACCATATAGATGTGGAAAAGACATGTTAGGGGAGATGCTGTGAAAAATAAAGGGGATCGGAAAGTCACTCCCACAGATGGCCCCTCCCATCCTACAAAGCATAGTCCAGCTGCCATGGACGGGGAGAGGCAGGAAACCCACCTGTGCCCTAGGTCCTCCACTGAGGTGGAAGATTCACTTGCTTTTTACTGTGGGAGGGTCCAAAGCTGAAGATACTGAGACGTGCTACGTACAGCCTGGCTGAGACTGAGCAACAGAACTAACAATCTCCCGTTGTCTCTATGAGCCTTACTTTGAGTCTAACACTAGAGAGAAGCAGCTCACGAGTGTGAAGAGGATCTGCTCTCCCTGTGGCAGCAGCATGCAGGACCTGCACTGACAGTTAAGGGTAGAAAATCCTCCAAGATTCCAAGCCTCACACTAAGCCCAAGAAAGCGATGGGCCCCTGGAGGAATATGAAGTGCATTGTGCACTGAAGGTACAATAGCAGCTCATAGCAAAAAATAAGTTGGTGATAAAATATACACCAGCCAGGGCCTCCCTGGTGGTGCAGCGGTTGAGCGCTGGGTTGCGAAGCTGCCCACAGCCTCTGCAGCGCCGGTTCGATCCCCGGCTGCTCCCCGGCCACCAGAGGAGGGTCCCACATGGCGTGCAGACCTCTCCTGCCGCCCGCTGCTCCCCTCAGCAGTGTACTTCGGTCCTTCTGCCTGCTCTGCTCCCCGCTCTGGCTCTGGTGAATTCTCTCACCCTTCTGCGCTTCTGACTGTACCCAGTGCTTGTATAAATAAATAAATAAATCTTAAAAAAATATATATATACACCAGCCAGAGCAATCAAAAGATAGGGTGGCACTGGTAATATCAGACAATGTCGACATTCTGTGAAGCTCCACTATTTGGCCCCTTATTGCTTACCTTGCTAGGTTCCCACACACCTCTCCACCATCCTCTGAGCTCCAGTCCCACTGGCCTCCTTCATTCATCAACTGCGCCATTTGCATTCCCACATCCAGGCCTTTGCCAGGCCAGTAGTCCCACCTGAAACGCTCTCTTGAGTATTCTTAGTTAGTTAATCCTGACTCTTTCTCCCTGCATACTCCATGAAAAAAAAGCAACTAAGAGACACACTACAGGGGGCCGGGGAGGGGAGGAGGGACTAGAGTCAAAATAAGGGGGGTGGGAATTGGATGAGGAATATAACCAAGATGAAAATTCACACATTGTGCAAAAATGAAAAATGATGTAAAAAATATATAAAATATAATTTTTTTTTTAAAGATTTATTTATTGATTGATACATACAAGCACTGGGTACAGTTAGAAGCGCGGGAGGGAGAGAGAATTCACCAGAGCCAGAGCGGGGAGCAGAGCAGGCAGAAGGACTGAAGTACACTGCTGAGGGGAGCAGCGGGCGGCAGGAGAGGTCTGCGCGCCATGTGGGACCCTCCTCCCGAGGCCGGGGAGCAGCCGGGGATTGAACCGGCGCTGCAGAGACTGCCGGCAGCTTCCCAACCCAGCGCTCAACCGCTGCGCCACCGGGGAGGCCCTAAAATATAATTTTTTAAAAAGGGATGTGATTGGGCCTCCCCGGTGGCGCAGCAGTTGAGCGCTGGGTTTCGAAGCTGCCTGCAGCCTCTGCACCACTGGTTCGATCCCTGGCTGCTCCCCGGCCACCGGAGGAGGGTCCCACATGGTGCGCAGACCTCTCCTGCCGCCCGCTGCTCCCCTCAGCAGTGTACTTCGTCAGTCTGCCTGCTCTGTTCTCCCCTCTGACTCTGGTGAATTCTCTCACCCTCCCGTGCTTCTGACTGTACCCAGTGCTTGTATAAATAAATAAATAAATAAATAAATAAATAAATAAATAAAAAAAAGGGATGTGATTTTGGTACATCATTCAGCTCTTAAACTTAAGCTTGAAACATAGTAGGTGCAATGAGTATTGGTTGTGTAAACTGGAGAACATGTGGCAAACATGATTGACAGGTTAGCTGGAAGACACACTGTAGATGAGGTGATTCTAGTCGAAGATTTCCAGCCCATAACCATCTACTCCCCACCACCTGAGTCACTTAGCCCTAATTCCAGGCTCAACCCCATCTGATCTCTGTAAGGGTAGTTCTCAGTGGACATTCCAAGTGGTTTTAATCCTGGCACCTTTAAAGTTACCTATATGTGGGGCCGCCCCAAGAGTTCTGAGTAAATTTCCTCACTGTTAACTCCATGTCTGCCCTGGCCCTGACCATGGTCTCAGGAGGCTTCCTGTCTGCTGCTGCATCAGGCACAGTCAAACGTTTCCCTCTCTGTCTTGGAGTCATGCTCTTGTATATGCATCTCCAAGAAACACAGAGGGATACGGTGACTCTCCTTCAGAGGCAGGAAGGTTTCCTGCACAAGGTGATATTTGAGCTTGTCCTTCTACAAAAAGGGGGACCTTTCCAGGTAGACAGGAAAGAAACTGGACAGTTCAGGTAAGAGGAACAATGTAAAGTGTTAGAAGAAGAATCTGTGTTTGTGTAGAAGCTCACAAGCCTAATAAAAATACTGATTCCCAAACAATAGATGGAAAAGTAAGCCAAAGGGACTCCCTCATCAAGTAGCAGTCCCTGCACAGAACCTGGGGACCCACTCAGGTTAAACTTTTCCAACCTCCCCCGGCACCAAAGAGTGAGTCATCTGGCATTCCCCTCCACTAGCTGTGATGGAGTCCCCAAGGGGTGTGGAAAGAGTCTCCATGGAATCCAGGGCAGGGGAGAGGGAAGGATTCAAGAGGAAAACAGGAAGAGGACAGTCCCTCGTGCCCAAGAAGAATATAAATGCCTCCTGTTCTTACCTCTGGGGCCGGGCATGTCCCTGCTAACTTCCCTGCAATTCTCACCCCAAAAGGCTGGACTGAAGCTGCCCTGTCGACAGAACTCCCCACCTTCTAGGTATGTCCTACCAACACAATAACCACGCACGAACACAGTGGAAGCAGCGGTGTCGGGGCCAAGGCATTGGAAATGTCTGTGTGCAGGGGAGGAATGAGCTAAGAACTTGGGCTTGATAGAAAAGGGGCAAGCTGCAGGAAGAGAAAGGCGAGAGACTAGTTTCTCCATACTTAATATGTTCATAAGTATGGTTGGTCTGCAGAGAAAGGATGTTCAAAATAAATAGAGATAGTAGCTAAGAGACTAAGAGAACCCTCTAGAAAACTGGAATCTAAAATGTCAGAGCGGCCCTATATGTCTTAGGGTCTTCCTACTCAATCCTGATGTCTAAAGGAGCAGCAGCAGCCTCACCTGGGAATTTGTCAGAAATGCAAAATCTAAGCCCCTGCCCCTTGTCCTTCTGAGCAGAATCTGCCTTTAACAAGATCCCCAGGTGATCCCCATGCACATAAAGATTGAGCAGTTCTGCTGCTCGGGAGTCCCAAATCAAGCTGCATATCAGAATCACATGGAACATTGCTTTTCCAGCCCAGGTTTGTGAATACTGTGGTAGATCAAGTGAATCTGAATTTCTGGGCACTGACAGCGCTTACAAAGCTCCACTGGTAACTGACGCTGGGCCACAGAACAGATTGGGGACAGCTGATCTGACCTAGTCTCTGCAATCCGAAGATGAGAGAGCTGAGGCAAGACGATGGCAACTAGCTTGGAAATCTATGAAGAGACTGAACTGGGTCTTTGTCTATAGACAAAGAGAATTGGATTTGGAGGTAGATCTGAGTTGAAGCCTGAGTTCTATCCCTACACAGCTGTGTGGGTTGGGATAAGTCTTTGGAATTCAGGGCTCTTGCCTTCATGGAAAGAAACACTACCAAGCCAGAATTACCCGTCAGAGGTAGTAAGGCAACAGAGAGAAATCAATGGAGAATTAACTATGTTTTGTGCAGGCACACACACAATCTCTCTCTCTCTCTCTCTCCATAATGTTATTTACTAAAGTTTGGGCATCCTTGTGCCCCAAAATTTTGAAGCAACTGAAAAGCCTTGAAGTCTCATTGTCCCTGTTTTACAGATGGAGAAATGGAGAGGCACCCGAAGTAGCTCTACGCGTCCCTTCCTGAAGGTGAGTAGTGCTTGCTTCCCAGATGGACAAACAGAAACATACAAGGGACTTGCCACCAACTAGGCTTTGTGTGCAGAACTCCACCAAGCCAGTGGACTTTGTTCATGGAAAATGTGAGTTGGGTGGGGCAGGAGTTCCACAGATTTCTCTACCCCTAGAGGCTATCTGACCTCTTCCAGTGACCACACTGAAGAGAAAGGGAAAATCCTTAAAGCCCCCTAAAGAAAGAGGGAAGAATCAAGAATGGCCCCAAATGCTGAGCTAGGTGAGATGGGTAATTATAAAATAATAGGGTAGGGCTATGATACAGAGTCCAGTGAGTGGGGCTTCTGCCTGAGAGGTGGGGCAGTAGGGGGTTCAAATAAAACTTTCTGGAAAAATGTCCCCTGAGCCTCCCTGGTGGCACAAGGGGTTAAGCATAACACTGTGACTCTATCCACAGCCTCTGCAGCATGAGTTCGATCCCCAGCCAGGGAACTGGCCCACACAGCACAGCAGACCTCTCCTGTCTCCCTGCTGCTCCCCTCAGCAGTGTATTTCAGCAGATCTGCCTGTTCTGTTCCCTGCTCTGTCTCTGCTGAATCCTCTCCCCCTACCCCGTACCTCTGGCCTATACCCCAGTTCTTGTAAGCATAAATAAATAAAATTTTAAAAAAGAAATAAGCCTTGGAGAATTGCATGGTGCATCCACAGCCACACCCATTTGTGTGGTACAGTTAGGGCTGGAACCCAAGTCTGCCTGACCCCCATACAAAGTGCTGTCTCCTCCATGGTGGTTGGTGACCTTTCTCTCTTCTCCATCTTGCATTCTCTCCCCAGTCTCTGTCCAGCAGGATGACCCCAGAGAATGTCACCTGGGCCAAGGCTGCCCCTTCTGAGTTCATCCTCCTGGGCATCACAGACCGCTGGGACCTGCGCGTGACCCTCTTCCTGATCTTCCTGCCCATCTACCTGGTGAGCCTGCTGGGGAATGTGGGCATGGTGCTGCTGATCTGTGTGGACACCCGGCTCCACACCCCCATGTATTTCTTCCTGGCCAACCTCTCCCTGCTGGACGCTTGCTATTCCTCCGCCATCGGCCCCAAGATGCTGGTGGACCTGCTGCTGCCCCACGCCACCATCCCATATGCAGCCTGCGTCCTCCAGATGTTTGTGTTTGCAGGGCTAGCCGATGCTGAGTGCTGCCTGCTGGCAGCCATGGCATACGACCGCTATGTGGCCATCGGAAACCCCCTTCTCTACACAACATCCATGTCGCCACGGCTGTGCCTGGCCTTGCTGGGCGCTTCAGGCCTGGGTGGGGCAGTGAGTGCCTTTGTCCACACGACCTTCACCTTCCGCCTTAGCTTCTGCGGCTCTCGGGAGATCAACAGCTTCTTCTGCGACATCCCTCCGCTGCTGGCCATCTCGTGCGATGACACCAGTCTCAACGAACTCCTCCTGTTCGCCGTGTGTGGCTTCATCCAGACAGCCACCGTGCTGGCCATTGTCGTGTCGTATGGTTTCATTGCCAGGGCTGTGATTCGCATGCGCTCAGCAGAGGGCCGGCGGCGAGCAGCCTCTACCTGTGGCTCCCACCTCACGGCTGTGGCCATGCTGTACGGGACCCTCATTTTCATGTACCTGCGCCCCAGCTCCAGTTATGCCCTGGACACCGATAAGATGGCGTCTGTGTTCTACACCCTGGTCATCCCTGCTCTCAACCCACTCATCTACAGCCTCCGAAACAAGGAGGTGAAGGAGGCCTTCAAAAGAACCTGCGGCCGATTTTGCTCTGTGGGGCGGGGGCACCACTGAGGGTCCAGGAGGCTGGTTAGGACTGACTGTGGAGAGTGAGAAGGACCCCTCTGTCACTGGGTAAAGATGATGTTCCTCTGGCTTGGATGTCTCTTGTTCTTGCTTAAGGGACAGGAAGAGGGGGGAGCTTAGAAGAAGGCAGGCAGCAATCTGGGGGGAACTAGGGCCACACCTATAGACAGAGCCTATATCAGGTTAATTTGCTCTTTAACTGCCTTAGTGTCTTCACTGCTCAAAACAAAGTTCCTACGTGTCGGCAGGTGAGGTAACTTAGGTGTATTTGCCACTTGTGCTTCTAAGAGATTGAGTCTCAGAAACTCCAAGTAAGAGCTATGTTGACTCCAAATGTTTCTAGATTCTTGCACCTTTTTTTTAAAAGATTTCTTTATTTATACATACAAGAACTGGGGTACAGGCCAGAGTTGTGGGGGGTGAGAGGATTCAGCAGAGATACAGTGGGGAACAGAACAGGCAGATTGACTGAAATACACTGCTGAGGGGAGCAGCGGGTGAGACAGGAGAGGTCTGCTGCGCCATGTGGGTCACCTCCCTGGCCAGGGATCGAACTCATGCTGCAGTGGCTGCGGTGAGCTTCATAGGTTGCATCTTAACCCTTTGCACCACCAGGGAGGCGGTTCTTGCACTTTTAAGGTTCATCATGACCAGTAAATCTGATCTCCTTGACCCTGAGCATCGTCAGAACCCACTCATGCCAAAGAGGGGGCTGGTGTGGCAGACCTCCCTCCCTATTAACCTCTGTATTCCAGCTCTCACATACCTGAGCTCATTCCTAAACTCCCAACATCTGGGTTATGATTTGGTCAGGATTGGATTAGTTGGCAAGCAATAGAAGATAGGAAAGGGTCAGAATTATGGTTACAGTTAGGAAAGGGTTAGACTCAGAGTTCAGGTTATTGCTAAGATGGGGCTGGGGTTAGGGTAGAGTTAAGGTTAGGTTTAGAATTGGAAAGCAATCAGACAAACAGGATTGAATTAAAATTATATAAACTTTAAGATTTAGATTGATTTTAATTAGCACTATATTTGGAATAAATGTAGGGGTTTAGATACACTTGAACTCTTAGAAATATTAGAAATATTTTAAAATTAGAATTATAGTGCACACAAAGACTGGAGGTCATTTTTATTTCTATGACTAAATTAAATTCAAATTAGAGTTTAGTTCTTTAGCTGTTAGATTTCAGTTGAGTTGGTATAGGTGATAAATTAAAGTCACAGTCTAGTTATTATTACAGTTAGTTTAGTTCTAGCTCAGAAGTAGATGACAGTGAGGCATAAGAAGTGTTTTAAGTATCAAATCGGCATGTTTGGGGTCTTAATTTAAAACTTACTTAAGGTATGGATAAGGGTTAGTGTCTCTTAGCTGAAGGGTAGATGTTGTCTCTTAGAGATGAAGGGTAGATGTTGACTCTAATATGTTTAAATTGCATTCAGAGCTGTGAGCATGCGCACATTCGCAGGCGGGTCAGCTGGGGTAGACTGCTTTGTGTTAAGAGCACAGTATCCAGTGGCAGGGGTAGAGGAGAGAGATTGCCATAATCCTGACCTCCTGGGCAAAGGTACCCACCATATTCTGAGCCTGGGTCACTCTGGACCCTTCAGAGCCAACGCTCTTGAGATGTTCACCCACCCAGATTTTCTTTGTCTCCCTAACTCAGTTATACCTGAGCAAGGTCCAGGCCACTGCATTCTGCATGAGAAGCTCTTGCACACGGGAGCAGCACAGAAGTGGACCCCATGGCAGGCGCTTCCAAGGACGGGTGGAGCGTGGCCAGAACCAAGTGTCAACACCTGCCTGATCCCCTGCCAGTCGCCCTAATGATGACTGAGATGAGTCCTGGTGGTGAAATATGGGACTCAAAACAATGTTAGTTGCTACCACCTAGTAGGTTACCCTTGGAGTCTCTCCCTTGTGCCCCAGTCAGGGGTTGGCCTTGACTGTCATGCTACTCGCTCCTGCAAGCTGAAATCAGTCCCCAGGTACTTAGACCAAAGGCTTCCCTGGCTCCCTGGGAGGTGCTGCCCCTTCTTACCTGGACCAGAACCCCTCCTTGTAGTCCTTTGGTAGGTCTCAGGCTTACAGAAAGAGGAATTTGGCAAGATCATCTCCTTAAACTCTAGGGAATTTTATAGGTTTACTGACAGAGAGACCAGCTCATCTTGGTTTGCCCAGAATTGTCCCAGTCTTAAGATTCCAAATCCAGTATCCTAAGAACCCCCTGGGAAAACCAGGATGGTGGGTCAGTTTATTTACAGATGAACTAGCAGCTGGAGTGCAGGGGATATAATATCCCAAACTCAGAACATTTTGTCAAAGGTTTAAATAAATCTAAACCCCTTCTCCCATCACAATGTTTATAATCCTTTCCAAGTTCTTACCTCCAATCCTCATAACAACTCGTGTTGGCAGTGATTGGAGGTATTACTGGGAGAGATGGCAACCTCAGCACTGAGAATGCAAGGTTTGCCCTTCTCTGTAACCTTTTCTTCCTTTGTGGGCTCTGGGGTTCCTATGCCATACACTATCAGGGGAAAGTTTCCAGACACCCACCCTCATAGATACAGCTGCCCTCAGAAACACACACCCCCAAGCCAATAGTCACACTTGATTGCAGAGACCCCAGAGCCCTCTGACCAGGCATGCAATCCTGCACATGTGCAGAGTCATGCAGCCACACACATGGCCATTCATCAGAGGAGCAGCACTTCCCACACTCCAACATTTCCTACGAGAAGCTGCCAGCAACAGTGGATGGGATGGCAGAGTTGACTCCAGAAGATACTGCTCTATGTCCTAAGTTCCCCTGCTGAAGTCCCAGTCACTGTTTGGGGTTCAGGAGTCAGCCTGCCCTTCTCTCTGGTTTTCACAAAACAGAAAGATTAACAAGCCCCTGAGTGGAGCTGCCTCCTGGCCCAGGGGGAGAGGCAGCCACAGAAGGGGGTGGTGCCTTTGGAGAGAAAGGTTCTCCCAAGACTCAGACCACACAGGCGTGGGGGTTCCCTCCTTGGACTCTCCAATGACAAGCTGTTCCTGGTCCCTCCTGCAGGTCTCTTCTGCAACGGGGAGGCCAGAAGGTCCACTTGGGACTCGGGGCCAGGCTGGACAGTGTGCAGATCTGTCTTCCTGAGTGTGACCATGAGCTTGAGTCATGGTGTGAGTGCGAAAGTGTGTGCTGTCTGCACGAGGCTGTGACTGTGTTACGGTCACTGCATGACACACGTAGAGGCAGTGCCACATGGGGCTGGCAGTGTGGACGTGGACACACTCCTCCAGGGGGCACATCTCTGCTGTGACCCACCATGAGCCTATGAGCATGTAGGGTAGGCCCAGTGGGTATATGAAATGCAGATTGTTGTGCTCAAGGTTACAACTGTGTGACGGAGGAGGGGAAGAAGTGGGGTTGGGCGTACACAAAGGGGCCACAGTGGGTGATGATGAGGCTTGCCTAGGTATGACCAGGCAGGGAGCTGTGCTTGGTGCTGTGAGCCTTCAAATTGGGGGAAGCAAATGTTCTGTTCATAATAACCAGCTTGGTCTTCTCTCTCATGGAAACTAAGAGTGGAAATTTTGGGAAGGAGGCATCACAAGACCAGAAGCTGATGAAATGAGAGGTGGGGGTAGGAATGATTAACAACAGCCATCAAACAAACTGTAGGAAAGTAAAGTATATCCGGAGGCGCAGACTGAGGTCCAGACCAGGCCAGGAGATAGAGATTAAGGCCATTATAAAAAATCACAGGTCCTTTCAAATGGACCTAGTCAAGCCAAATATTAAAAAAGAAAATCCTTAAGCACCAACCCTAGAAATAATTAATTTAACAGCAGTTAACAACCTTACAGAGGAATGAATCCCCCCAAAGAGATGACTTTATCAGTGCAATTTCTTTTTTTTTCTTTTTTTTTAAAGATTTATTTTATTTATGCATGCATGCAAGAGCTGGGGTGTAGGCCAGAGGTGCAGGGGGTGAGAGGATTCACCAGAGACAGAGTGGGGAGCAGAACAGGTAGATCCACTGAAATACACTGCTGAGGGGAGCAGCGCATGAGACAGGAGAGGTCTGCTGCATCATGTGGGTAGCTCCCTGGCCGGGCATCGAACTCATGTCACAGTGGTTGCTGATAGCTTCGTAGTGCTGAGACGTAAGCCCTGTGCCACCAGGAGGGCCCATGAGTGCAATTTCTACCTGGCAAGAGGCAGCATTTCTGCCCGCCTGGGACGATGCAGGCCTCTCATAGCAAACCTGTTTCTTCCGGGGCAGCTCTTTTCCGCCCACTTGTATTTGTGCAAGACTCGTTTTCTTCCCTTTCCTTTTATAATAAACCTGCCCCTGTGGGTATAACTACCAGTGTCCGCCTCCTGGGAAACTCGCCACGTGCCGCTGAAAGGGGAGCTCTGATGAAACCTCTCTCAGAGGTAACCCAGGACCCCACTCTCTGAACCCAGCACCTCTCCAAGTGACATCACCTCCACGGCCCAGAATACTCAGGAGGCCACAGCAGCCAAGGGAAAGAACCGTTTGAGCCCCTTCTCTGAGGCCTCTCCTGATAGCTCCTGTCAGGCCCACACTCTCAGAAATACTGGCTTTACTCTCTCTCCCTTTCCTCTGTGATCCCCAAATCCACCCCCACACTCTAATGGCCCAGCGTGACTCTCCTGCCTCCAAACACCAAGCACAGGCCAAGGCCCAGAGAACGCGCAGGGAAAATGGGCGCTGACACAAATTAAAGGAGTAACAGCTGTGTGGGTGGGTGGCAAAGCTTCCAGACGTAGAGAGGAGATGGTGAGGGAGTCCGGCGCAGCCTGTCGGGGAGAGGGAGCGTTTCATGGAAAACAAGGCCACCAACCCACACCGTAACTTCCCAGTCACCAGTCAATTGCACTGTACCAGTGGCCTCAGGCTGCAGTGACGGGGTCCCCCAGCGTGAGGGCCTCACACAACAGAAACAAAAGTGCTCACAGTTCTGGAGCCTGGACGCC